TTCCTGTCATGAGCACATTTTTTTTTTTTTTAATAAGTTTTCCCAAATGCACAGGCTGGTACATGAAATGAACTCTCTTAAAAAATAAAAATAACAGCATTCTACTCAAATATTGATATCCGCAAAAAATAACGTTTGAAGTAATAAAAAAGTTGGATTAAAATCCATCAATTCTTTAGTAATTGCTTTATCATTTATATATATATATATATATATATATATATATATATAAAGTTAATTTTCTCCATCAAGACATTCATTTCTGTAGTTTACTGCTACCAGCAAGCAAAAATATTTCTTCTCCCAATGATGGCTATTTTGGCCAAAACTAGTCAAGGAATGTAAATGAAATAATAATAAAAAAAACGAAAGAATATTAATCTACAACCCAGTGTGTCTGAAGATTTTAATTTTTTAATATTTTTTTTATTGTTCAATATATATATATATATATATATATATATAAACTTGAGAAACAACTTATGTTTGCTGATTCTTTGATTTTTTTGCTGTAATTCATTTGATAATGAATATATTTCCCTCTGTTTCTGTCTTCTATACAACTGGCATCTTAAGCAAGTGAGTCATCCAATAATTTGTTTTACATGATCTTGTTTCTTTCTCTAAATATTTGGAGAAGGATGTATTTAAGAAAATTTTTTATTAGAGGGATTTTATATTCCTTTTAGTTAGCTTAATAGAATTGTGTTAGATTGCAAAATTTCGCTTATTAAAAATTGATGCTAAAAATGGTACAAAATCAGTTTACAGGAATTGTTTTGATTAAACATTTTAGTCTTATTACAAAATATCTCTTTAGTCCTTGTCAAATTTTTTTTTTTTTCTCTCTCCATAACTATAAGAAATATTACAAATAAAGCTTTTATTATTCAGTGATCTATATTTTTATGCAATGAAACTTTTATGGACTTGAATAGTTTTGAGTATCATCAGTTTTGACTATTTTTTCTTCATCCTATTCTTACATATTATCATAATATTTTAAACCAATCCTTTCCACTGCAATAAAAATGGGCAGAAATTGGAATAAAGGAACCATTTTGGACAAGAAAGTTGCAGTCTATATCTCAATACCATCTCTTACATAAATAATATCTTTGCCAATTTAGCCACATCTTTCATAATTAAGCAATGCACTCATCCAGAAAGATACTTTCTGTAATTTTAAGATGGGATAGGTTCATTCTAATTTTTATCCTTGTTAATTTTTTCATTTTGCTTATTGTATTAAATAATTTATTTTCTTAAATGCAGTAAGTATTTATTTCATGCTTAAGATTATATTCGATCATATATATATATATATATATATATAGTGGAATAGATAAATTATCATCTAAATTACACAAAAATGAAAATGACACTGACATTTCATTTTAACAGATATATTTACCAAAATTACATGAAAATATCTTGAGATACTAAAGAGTAAATTTATTCAATAAAATTACCATTGACTTCAACCACAGCCTCCAGACGACTTCAGAATCTCCTGCAACTTTTCTGGACGGTCTCCTTGATTAAGTTGGTGAATGCTGCTATAATGCTTGCCTTCAGGTCATCTTTGATGTTACAAAGAATTTTGTTGGTCTCTCACTCAACTGCGCCCCACAATAATCAAGGGGTGTTGTTGTCTGGGGAATTTGGTGGCCAGATTTAAGGGGTGATGTGGTTGCAGAAATTGTCTGACAGCCATTACTGGGTTCTCTTGTTTGTGTGACATGGGACAGATTCCTGTTGCCAGACATAAGGTCTTCCAGCAGGCACCCTCTTGACCCATGGCAGCACTACCACATCAAGGCAGTTTATGTAGGCCTCTATGTGGGAAGATGAGGCATAACATTTCCATCACTCCAAACATCATAATGTTGACAAGATATATCATCCAACTCTTTGCAAATCTTCTGCACTGTTCTCAGATTGACACCCAAAACACTCTGAAATGTTTGTGTTGGAGTTTCTGGCACAAATGCCAAGCAGTACAGCAAGCCATTTCAAATTTCTGGCAATTGTGTCATGGTGTTCTTTTTCTCACAGACGTTGACCCTACTTATATGGTGCAATCAACAATTAAAAACAATGTGCACATGCAAAATAAATATAAGATGGCGACAATTTATACATCGCACCTGTGTAATACATATTTTTTAATCAATTTACCCAGGCAAGGTGATAATGTCACTAAGACACAAGGAACTATTGTGAGTGAAAGAAAATGAAAAACACATGAGGAGCAACTGGAAACCCAATCCTAAATAGAAAACAAGGGATAAACCTCTACCCCATCATGGGGAATATAAAAATACAACTGTTGGCTATAATTATGCACAGACACTTTGAAATTTATTTTTGTTTTTTTTTTAAGATGTGTGTTGTCTAGGAAAGTTTACGGGATAGAATATTCACATGAAGGTTGGTAATGAACTATAATACTTAGGACAAGAACTATACATATAAGATTCACCAGTGGCATGTAGAATTAGTAGTCAACTGCTAGAAATGAGTAAAGTGAATTCCACAATGAATCTCCAACTGCAGACCAACATACAGTATTTACTACTGTATTTATGGGAATGGGGACATACCCATTATCGTCCATAGGTATGCTACAACAATGTGTCTTATGTAATTGAGCCAATTACATTCAGTTTTCTTATGTTTTTGTTTTTATCAGTTTTTTATTAAGTATCCCATATAGTGATAATAGAACACTTGAAAAGAAAGATGAAATGCAAGAACCTGGATGCAAATTTACTGTGGATGATCAACATGGAATGAAAGTTTAAAATTTTAATATTTCCTGTCTGTGCATAGTTATAAAAAAATGTTTGTTTTTATATTCTCCTTTCTTCATATACCTGTATAATTTGATCAACAGAAACATTACTTTAGTCTGAAGAAGTCCAAAAGGATGAAATGCATCAGACAAAATGTCTTTCACTTTGTCATTAATTTCCCTTGCATTGTTATGATAAGCAATTATATATCATATGCTCCCATGATAAAAAAAATATGGCTTCAGTTTCTCCAGGTCTACCGCCAATGTGTTAATCACTATCACAGAATTTGTCTGCCAAATTGTATGACAAAACCTGATCTGCAGCTTTAGGTATCTCAGGGGCATTCAACAGGGTTTGGCATGCAGGCCTTCTACACATGCTCAAGGACTACCATATCATGGGACAAATATTTGATCTAATTCAATCATTCCTGATAAATCGTATAATGAAGGTCATGTTGAATGGACATGCTTCTAGTTCATTTTACATTAATGCATGGATCCACCAAGGATCTATACTTGGAGCTATGTGTGGTTTCTTATCTTCATCAATGGCCTTCCTGATGTCATCAGTTTCCAAATTGATTTTTATGCTGATCTCATGACTAATTACTCCTGTCTTATTAACAAGTCCAACAGGTCCGACAAAGTAAAACTTGCAACTGCTCTTGAAAATGAACTCCTATCTGTGGTTGACTGGTTAGGGAAAGGAATGGCATGTAAATTTGAATGCCTCTAAACAAAACTACTTTCATTTAACTACCACAGAGTATCTTTTCTGCCTGCAATCACTATGACCAATTCTAACCACCAAGGGAGGCAACACTTTGCACTTTCTTGGGCTCCTGTTTTCCACTGACATGAAGTGATTATATTGAATCAATTGCTAGGTCTACTTGCTAGGAAAGTTGGTTCACTGTGTTATGCCAGACAGTTTTTTTTTTTTTTTTTTTTTCCATTTGAATCCATCATGGATATTTATAAATCTATCATACGTCCATGGATTAAATATTGCTGCCATATCTGGTATGATGCTCCTACTATATGTCTTGAAATTCTTGACAAAATTCAAAGAGTCTATAATATAATCAGTCCTGACGTGACTTCCCTCTGTTTATTCTATAAATATTTTCATGGTAATTGTTCTGATGAGCTGTCCTCCTTTAGTCCTGACTGAATGAATTTAAGTTTGCTACTAGATTGGCAACTAGGTCTCACTATTTTATTGTTGAACTAGATAGACGCATCTATATTTTCTATTTTAATGTTTTCTTTTCTAGCAATTTTCTCTTGTGGAACTCTCTTTCAATTTCTTGCTTCCCTGTCACTTAGAATCTTCAAAACTTTTAAATGCAACATCAATCACCATCTTCTGTCTTCAAGAAACATGTTTTTTTTGTTTGTTTTTTTTTGTTTTTTTTTCTAATTATCCTTTCTTCTCACTTCTCATGAAAGTCTTCCCATTCTCTTTTGATCCTAGTAAACCTCTTATGTCCTAGTGGCATTATGATCTTGGCTGAGGTGAAATGATTTAAAAATAAATATGTAATCTGTTTCAGTATTTGAAAAGTGAATTATATTAAATGGATTGTACCTTTCAGATAATTTTCCACCTCACTATTTATGAAACTGTTAGAAATTATTGTGAATGTGGAAATTCTGTTGTTTTTTTTTTTTTAATGCATAAATCATGGGTGTGAAAACTAAAAATTGCAGTCACCCTTGTTACAAAGAGGAAGAAGAATTAAAGAGAGAAAAATGGGTTTGTTTCAAAATTGACTTGTTTTTGTTTTGAGTGATTCTTGAGTGTTTGTTGCTCATAGCACTTAAGTTTAGCACTTTCTCTTATTATGATTTTAGTATTGTTTGAGTGGCTAGCTGGAGACATGATTTTGCCTATATGCTTGTGTGTTTATCTTGTGTGTTTGTGCACACATACAAAGGGGGCGCCAGGTAATTGAGAACAAATTATAAAAAAAAAATATTCAATAGAGAAATAAATCAGTACTTTTTAAAAAATAAATTTGTGCACACATTCAACTTATAGGAACCAAAAAAGGTTATTGAATAAAACAATCTTCTGCTTAAAGAACAGTTCCAATGTGGCCTTGGAAACGACTGCAGGCCTTCACATCCACAGTGGTGTCCTTCACTGTATCTTAGGTACTGTACTTGCACCAGGCTTATAGACACATCACTTTGAAACATTGATTCCCATACAATCACCAAAGTTAAGCAATGTCAACCCTGGCCAGTACTTAGATGTGTGATCGCTTGGGAATACCAGGTGCTGTAAGTGTGTATGTGCAGGTGGTGTAATATATAATTGTTAATCTGTGATAAGATTTCCAATTCCAGTTGGGTTCATTGTATTATTCTCTTACACACAAATACAGTTGGGAAAGGTACAAATCTACCTCTTCTCTCTCCAGCTATGGGTTAATTAGTAAGACTTGTATCACTAATTCATTATTATCTCTCTCTCAAAAAAAAAATTCTTACAATCTAAAAAAATATTTTCTGGCTTTAAATAACCTGCAAAAAATGAATGAATCAACCAATCATTACACTTCTTTCATTATCCTTTTGACTGAATCATAATATTTTTCTCACAAGACATCGTTCTCTGGTTTTATTTTTCAACATGAGTCTCATTATTTTCTATTTCTAATCTTAAACTTTGAAAGTGAAATAACCAAAACGAAAAAGGAAGGATAGTGTCATTTGATGAGGAAGAAAATTAAAGATTGATAATGATATTGCCCATGTTGATGTTCAACAGACCCAATGCCCAATTTCAAACATGTTAGTAATGATTACGCTTGACAAATGTTTTTAAGTTGTTTGCACTTTCAACCAGAAGCTTCCCATAGAAATACATCTACTTTAATCCAGCTTCTGGAGTTAGCAGTGGAAAAATGCAAGGCCAGCCATAAACAGGCCCAAAAATTTGACACATTTTTCATACAAAAAATAAATTGGACAAAACCTTGTAAAGTTTCTTTAAGAAAATGACTTTTTCCTTCTTTGGATAATTTAGACATTCAGTTATCCGGAGTTTTAAATTATCTGTCTATATTTTTATAATCCCTGTCCCAATGTGTACAGAAAATTACAGAAATACTGTATTATAAGGCGCAATAGACTCGGAAATTCAAATCTGTTCTACTATTCATCTGAGCCCTTATGAGAAGCTCACTGTCTCAGCATCATTGTTGCTGGAATTACAAACACAATGTGCCTTTTCATGTCCTGTGTCAGACTGCAAATTGCTATGTTAATGCCCTTGATACATCTGAAAGAGAATGATATTAAAATTTGACAAATGCTGCATAACATTATGTTAGGTCATCTATTTATGACCCACAAAATATGCTTTCTCAGGTATCTGAATCATCTTATAACCCTGTATCTGTGTCTGATATACATATGTACATTCCTAGCTTAATGAGGAGAAAAGCTTTTATTTTAAACAATGGCTATTTATTTCTCAACACAGTCTCCTTTCTTACAGGTGGACTTAATGAAGTATTAAATATTTGTCACATAGATCAAATATTTATATATTAAAAATCTATAAAAAATATGGCAAATTGGAAAAAAGTTTTTGTGATGCATTTCATCCATTAGGATTTCATTGGACTGGGCTTTGTTGAAGCTGCCACATCTACACATGTGCACAAAATGAGACACACTGGTAGTTTCCAAATTTTTTCTTTTTTTGAAAGAATATTTTTTCAATCTAGTCAAATTCATCTGTATTCTTTTTCTTTTCACCACCTTTGTCCTTGACTATCCCACATTATGACAACCAAAAATCTACCAAGAATGGTGATAAAAACCTGTCTGCAAATCTACCGTGGCTGAACTAGCATTGAAGACACTTTCCAGGCATTTTTTTTCTCAGTAGATGATTTTCTTTTTTAATCAAAGTAGCATTCCCTATGTCAAAATTGTAGTCAGCTTTGTTATTGTGAAAAACTAATGAGTTTATAGTGTTGTTATTTAAAATGTCCTGTATGTGTTCATATAGTCTTTTGTTTAAACTTCTTGAGGTTTCACCAATGTATTAATTCTGGCAATTCCTGCACTTGAAAGAGTAAATTCATAGTAAAAATCTATTTTCAGCAGAAAAATATGTGCCAGGCTGTGAACTTAGCTGTTAGTCTATTCAAGACAAGTGGACACGGAGCTCGATGCCCAGTGACGATAGTCTTTTCCATGCTTGAACACAATCTTATGTAGTATAGTAAGGCACTGAAACTAATTTGAGCTATTAAAAAAAATAATATTTATGATAATACAATTAATATTTATTGTACACTAATAGGCCATTTGACCAAACAGAAGCATGATGAGAAAAGATGTTAAAAATCAGAATTTTCAGGCCTTTCTCAACAAGAAATGAAAAAAAATTGTACTTTGGAGTGTTTTTTTTGTTTTTTGTTTTTTTTTTCCTATTTTTCATCAGCCCACTATATCAACATTTTATAAGAACTGCATGTGAACACACACACACATGCATATATATGCACACACACACACACACACACACACACACACAGATGTGCACAAATTTGTTGAATTTGAATCTCAATCAGTTCATCTGTCAGCTTACTTAGTATATTACTACCAATTATTTTCCTTGAAAGTGTGTGTGCGTGTGTTATATATATGCATGTGTGTGTTTTGGGTATCAATTTTTATTTTATACAGCATTGGTTAAAGAAGAAGGAAAGTTTTTTTGTTAATAATTTTTCTTTGTTCGACATTTCAGACAATATTCTTCATTTCTATTTAAAAATGTCCATTGCCTTCTTAGTACTTTTGTCTTTCATAGGCCACTATTAAAGAGTTTTGTTATTTGTACATATCAGTTTCATTGTTTTTCAAATTTATTTGCTTGCATATATATATATATATATATATGCACACACAAAAACATACACACAAGCAAATATATATATATAAAGTCAAACATGGGGAGGGCTATAAAAACAGTGCTACTAAAACAGTCAATATAAAATATAAATGAAACAATAGTCACATGTTACTGATTTTCACAAACATGAAACTAAATCACAGAAACAGTAATATATGCTTATTGATTGATATATATATATATATATATATATATATATATACACACAAAAACATACACACAAGCAAATATATATATATAAAGTCAAACATGGGGAGGGATATAAAAACAGTGCTACTAAACAGTCAATATAAAATATAAATGAAACAATAGTCACATGTTACTGATTTTCACAAACATGAAACTAAATCACAGAAACAGTAATATATGCTTATTGATTGACTATATATATATATATATATATATATATATATATATATACACACAAAACATACACACAAGCAAATATATATATATAAAGTCAAACATGGGGAGGGCTATAAAAAAAAGTGCTAAAACAGTCAATATAAAATATAAATGAAACAATAGTCACATGTTACTGATTTTCACAAACATGAAACTAAATCACAGACACAGTAATATATGCTTATTGATTGACTATATATATATATATATATATATACACACAAAAACATACACACAAGCAAATATATATATATAAAGTCAAACATGGGGAGGGCTATAAAAACAGTGCTACTAAACAGTCAATATAAAATATAAATGAAACAATAGTCACATGTTACTGATTTTCACAAACATGAAACTAAATCACAGAAACAGTAATATATGCTTATTGATTGACTATATATATATATATATATATATATATGCACACACAAAAACATATACACAAGCAAATATATATATATAAAGTCAAACATGGGAGGGATATAAAACAGTGCTACTAAACAGTCAATATAAAAATATAAATGAAACAATAGTCACATGTTACTGATTTTCACAAACATGAAACTAAATCACAGAAACAGTAATATATGCTTATTGATTGACTATATATATATATATATATATATATATATATATATGCACACACAAAAACATACACACAAGCAAATATATATATATAAAGTCAAACATGGGGAGGGCTATAAAAACAGTGCTACTAAACAGTCAATATAAAATATAAATGAAACAATAGTCACATGTTACTGATTTTTCACAAACATGAAACTAAATCACAGAAACAGTAATATATGCTTATTGATTGACTATATATATATATATATATATATGCACACACAAAACATACACACAAGCAAATATATATATATAAAGTCAAACATGGGGAGGGCTATAAAAAACAGTGCTACTAAACAGTCAATATAAAATATAAATGAAACAATAGTCACATGTTACTGATTTTCACAAACATGAAACTAAATCACAGAAACAGTAATATATGCTTATTGATTGACTATATATATATATATATATATATATATATATATATATATATTATATGCATATATAAAAACATACACACAATAAATATATATATATAAAAGTCAAACATGGGGAGGGCTATAAAAACAGTGCTACTAAACAGTCAATATAAAATATAAATGAAACAATAGTCACATGTTACTGATTTTCACAAACATGAAACTAAATCACAGAAACAGTAATATATGCTTATTGATTGACTATATATATGTCTATTTCTGAGATGAAGTATTGTAACTACACTCTTATATTCTTTATATTGTTCAGACTGTTGTTCCCATTTTTATTGTCATATTCACATTTCCAACAAATATCACTTGAAGAAGTCCAAAGCATACAACAGTGGAAACCTCATGAATATGGAAACAAAGAGGAGCTCAACTGTCTGAATATTGTAAATTGTGTGTATGTATATATATATATATATATATATATATATATATATATATATATATATATATATATATATATATGCATTCTCCACCTTTACTTATTTTGATATGCGGATCTCTGAGGATATGCATATAGATATATCTTACTTTTTATAATCTTTTGCTCAGTTTATATGATAGTTTTTTTATTTCTATAACACATAAATTGCAATAGATGCCACTTCAGTTTTGCATCTGGAAAAGAAACACCACTTTGATTGCCTAGGTCTAATAACAGCAATTAAATTTTTGCTTTACAGTAATCATTAGTAGGTTTATTAACATAAACCGCTTGACTCTGAAAGAAAATAAGTGTCAGCATCTACCATAGTCATCATTAACCGGATGACATGTTTTATCTGACCTGAGGCAAAAGTTGTTCAATTTAACCCGATTATTTGTGCTTCTTTTGTCTCGATATCTTTCCATTTTATGATTTAGTAAAAATGATGAATGTTG